GGATATAAAGTTTTGAATACGTATGATTTAATTTTTCAGTCATAAAATCGCGAGAATATCGCAATAATAGTTAGTGTAAACACGACTAAATTTATACGTTCGTATTGGCAATAGAGTCAAAGTTTTCATTTCGCTTACACCGCAAAAAGTTATTCGCGAATAGAAAAAAGGGACGCGTGCTCTCTGATGATCTTCTTCCGAACGTTACGAGCATTATAAAAGTTCTCAAATAAAATTAATGCTCCGTGATTGTCGACTAAATTGGAAACCGTGAACTTGACGCGTAAATTCTCTCCGTCGAAGGGATGAAAATGAAAATTCCGAAGTGACTTGATAAATCGAGCATATTATTGATATTTTAAATAGAAAGATAAACGAATTCAATAATGTGAGACCTACTTCAATTTTCAATTTAATGAAGTACAAATATTTGACGAAAAAAGTATATTCGCCTTAGCTTTTTCAAAGTTTCAATTGAAGTTTAATTGTTGAAATATTTGAATATCGATAAGTCGTAACAAATGACGGATTTCAATTGCTGTAATATTTCTTAATTTTTATTTCGAAGGGAAAAGGAAGATTAGTTCTATTCCAACATTTTTCTCGTTCCGTACTCTCTCGTAACCTTTACGAGTGTGTTTTACGCAGGCTGTTGTATATGTTTAAGAGTAATTCCGGATAACTTTCTGTTTCGAGAAAACCCACGCCCGTTCTATAAAAGCTCACTGAGTGCTAGGCGTTATATTATGTTAGGTTTGTAGCCCGAGGTACCCCAATAACGTTTCAGTTTGTACGAGGCCGAGTCACGTGATTCTTTCTAACTCCGATTTCTCGTTTACAGGTTTTCACGGTATGTATTTGCTTGGGAATTCAATTTCCGGAATCATGTTATCGAGCGAGGTAATGTTCTTCACGCGTGCATTTCAAAGAATGAGAAATATTGCAAGTCGATTATGCAAAAATACGAAATATCCAATGAATTGTTAGGTACATGAAAAATATTGTATCAATTTTGAAAAATGTTATTTATCGCTTGATCGTTATTTTTCTGAAACACACGGAAAGGATGGTTTTGAATGGTTTAGAAGTGTTTAAAATTTTTACTTATGGTTAGATACAGATCAGAAAATTATTTTGTTGGACTATCAAAGTAAGTATTATATAAGACGTTTAAACTGATTGTTAAAAAAAATTTATTTACAATATTTTAAGCACTCGTCATGCTTGAGTTTCTTAAATAATTATTTTGATAGTCCAACAAAATTATTTTTAGATCTGTATTTTTAAATTTTCAAATTATTTTTCAATCCTTAATTTTTTAGATAAAACCGTTCTTTTCATCTAGTAAAAAATGTTTTGTAATGTGATTAATAAATGCCGAATTTTTATGCAAATTCTTGTTATTAAAAAAAGCAATTAATAAATAACATTTTGATTAATTACCTTATATATTTATACTGTAATATATATAGTATTAATATACATTTTCTTTGGAAGGTAAATGAAACTATGTGTTATAAAACATTGTTCTTTATATTAATAATGTTTAATTACATTATTAATATTAAGCTAGAAATGATTTAATTCGATTTTTTTTACATTTGCGAATAAACCAAATAAACATCTTAGTATAATACATACACTATTTATTTTTTTATATGGTCGTTGAATAGTTATGAACAATTTTTTGTTTAAAAAATCTAAACTTTAAATAAAAATTCTTAAAAAATTTTATAAGCTTAATTGGATCAAAATGAACATTTTTTGTCTCTTAGACTTTTTTGATAAAGTCAATAGTTTTTAAGATAAAAAAATGTCTAAATTTAAAAAATAACTATGATTTTTTTCTCACAAATTAATCACGTAAGTATGCAGAACAAAACCTTTTTCGAATCCTTGTTATGACTCAAATAGTGATAATAAATCGAGGGAAATCGAAAAACAATAAATTTTTCGGCTGCAATATTGATAATAATCTTTGACTCAAATAGTAATAATAAATCAGGGGAAGTCGAAAAATATATGGTCTACTTATTTTTTTTAATTGTTTATTCTACCTTATCTCTTAGGGGCGCATGACTTCCATTCGAATTTCTTCGCGTAGAAGTCGTGCGCTCCCAAGCAGGGGGGGGGGGAGAGATGGAATGGAAGTCGCTTCGCGTGGAAAGTCATGCGTCTCTATCAGACTTCTGTCATAACACTAGACTGCTGGCTCCCCACTTTTCCTTATATAAAAGTGTTGTCTGCGAGTAGTGAATGCGCAATAGAAAACCATCATGTATAGAAAAGAGATGCCAATAGGTCACGTGATCAGCCTCTCTGTGATTAGTTCTTATAAGTATATAAGAATGTCATTGGCGATCTAACTTTTAATTTTCACGAACTGTTACAAATCACGTGCACCACTATTTATTTCAGATCCTTTCATTTCATGCAAAAACACATTGACTAAGCCTAATTTCGTTCATTCTGTGTGTGTATATATAATTATACTCTTCGAATATATGAAAATATATAAACATGTTTTGCGCATGCGCGATTTTACAATGCGCATGTGCCACGAGTAATACATATTATCTGACAACAGGAAAAGTAGGAAATTAGCTGTCTAGTATTATAATAGAAGTGGTCTCTATGTGCTACTATATGTAACATTTCCAATGAAAATTTTTTTTGTTTTTCGACTTCTCTTGACTTATTATTACTATTTGAATCATAACAAAGATTATTACCAACATTGCAGCCAAAAAATGTCGAAATTTGAAAATGTCCTATTTTGCATAATTACCATTAATCATCTATTAATTAATAGGAATAACAAACGAAAAATTCGGCCAATCTTAATCTATAATCTATAACGAGAATTTTATTTTTTTTATTTGCACTATTAATAACAGTGAAAACTTCATTATAATGAAGCTCTGAAAGCGCATCTGCGACGCATGAGTGGTCTCAACGCCGAATCTGAACTGGTATCACAGCTGAGCACAGCACTTGTTTTTAAATTGAAATATATCTATATTAGGATATAAACATTAATAAAATACGAATTTTTAATATTTTTATTGCATATGTTGGAAACGCGCCCCAGTACTGTTGACATAGAGGGCGAGACGCGTGTTACCGGCCGAGGAGTGACTTTGAGGAAGATGCCGGAAGTAGCTGCGTGTGAACGGAAGAAGATGAGATCGGATCGCGAGCAGAGGGAGTGCCCGCCATTATATATTTCCCGACATTATAGC